AAAAATTACAATACTGTACGCTACTTGTTCAGATGGAGCTAGTGGAAGATTGACTACTGTAAAATGATCCTTGAACAAGTTGTTTGGCATGCCATTTGTAAAGCTACAAGTACTACCAATATCAAACTGAAGCTCATTGGCCTCCACATATCGTATGATTTGTTTTTTTACATCCATACTGTTGCAGTTACTTGATTGCTGGGCCACATTACCCACACTATAACTCACAGATTTTATTTCTTTATTTATTTTTTTAATACAGTGTACCTGTATTAGGAATGAAAAATAATTGAAAAAGTTAGTACCACCATGAAGTAAACACACAACTACGGGATGCATTAAAAAGTGACACTGACCACTCTCTTCATTGAGCGTGTGGCTCAGAGATAATACAAGAGGTCTGTGTGTTGCCTACAACTTTTCAACCAATAAAGCATAGTATATAGATTTTAATTTTTTTTTCTTTCATAGTAAATATTTCTTCCCAAACTATGAGCATAATAATGCAACAGTGAATAAAAGGTATGTCTGTAGCATTGTGAGATTACATTTACTGTATATTATATAGTGTATACTGAAGTATTTTTCTCCTTCATTATACAGTAGTACCCCGATTTACGCAGTCAATTGAACCCATGGGGTACCGCGGAAAGTGAAAATTGCGTAAAGTGAACAACAGAACATATGGGATTAATTCCAATAGAGACTGGCCCGACCCCCAAACTCCACTTTTTCAGACACAATACCTACGTTGTAGTAAAAATTACATCTTAATTTTATGATGGTATGCACACACAATTAATAATTAAGAGAAATATCAATAATATTAGTTTTTTTAACACTTACATTAGTAGAAAAGATGGCTGGGCACACAGGCATGGGGGGTTTGTTCCGAGGCAGAGGGCAGATTATTGGCCCTCACCTGTATCACTTGTATCACTATCCACCACATAGGCTTGCAGGGCCTCTTTGTCAAACCCCTCAAAGTCCATATCCTCACTATCACTGACTTAGGCCGGCTGTGGTGGGTGGCGGGTGAAGAACTCGGTAATGTTTTGATGACTGGGCGACCTTGTGCGCATCCTGCCCGCGCCGCTTCCCGCGTATGAGTAGATGCACCGCGGAAAGTGAAAGTTCAGTTCTGGCGAGGCACCGCGTAAATGAGAAATCGTGGAAAGTGAAACCGCGTAAAGCGGGGTAATACTGTACAGGTATAATTATTTTACTAAACCTACTGTTTCATTAAAAATATCAAGTATTGCAAATTAATGATCTATCCTATTTTAAAACTGAGCTCAGACAGGGTTTATTATACCTTTACAATATTAAACAATCAGCAGTTTTCACAATCCCATGGTATAAAGGTATACTGCAAAAGACTTGACAGTCATATACTACTTTATAGTAGATCAACTGAAAAACTTTAAATTAAATTAGGGTGAGATTTGGCAATAATACATTACCAACACAGTTAATGAATTAACCTACATAATGATAATAATAAGCACCAACATACTAGAACTGTATTGTAGTCTCTCACATTCACCAGGAAAGTGGCTAATGACAGCTGAAAACCAATGTAATCTCTGTTTACAATGCTCATCACTCTGACTAGAGGCACAAACACCAACTTTAACCTGTGTATGGATGCAGACCTCAATGCTGAGTAGCTTTAGTCTAAGTTAATATACAGTAGTCCCTTGCCAACCACGGGGGTTAAGTTCCTGAAAAACCCTGTGGTTGGCAAGACTAAAGAAATATGGGAAATAAGGAGTTAGGTTCTAAGGCTGTGAATAACACTTATCAAACAATGTTGCCTGTTCCTTCACTGAACAATACCTGTATTTGGAGTGAGATGAAAAGAGTTATAAACTAATCCTGAAATTACAAGAAGAAAATGGCATTTCTTTAGTTTGTGTATTATTATTATTACTTATTATTATCCTATTGTGCTTCTGAGTCTTATATATTTGTAATTTGTAAGTTTTCACGATTTGGTTGTTGTACCAGGACTTAAGGGAAAAGTGTTCAATGTATGTCGAGAAGATAACGTTTTTGTTTTTGGAGGGAAAAAGCAGTGCGACGTCCAAGGGGTTGAGGTGTTTCTCTGTTTATTTTCATGTTACTGGTGCTGTACTCATCCCCTGGGTGACTTAACGGGGACTACATTAAGGAAATGTGACCTGAGCGACCTTTTCTCTTACCATTAACTATTGCTACTGTGACCAGGTTAACTTCCCTGGTCTACATATTGTACATTTAATTAAATTCGAGTGAAATATGTACATAAAAAATAGCTAAATATAAATTAAATAGTAATATAAATTTTACAGTACATCTCCATGGAGATGGTATGTAAAAAAAAATATAAAAATTTCTTATGTCCACGGGAGTTAGTGTCTGATCGTGGGAGGGGAAGGGGGATAGAGAGGGGGGTGTGGTGTCGGGGATCTCAGCCTCTCCCTAACAGGCCAAGCTGTGAGCTGCGATATTGTTTTTTTTAACTCGTAGTTTTGGGTAGATATTCATAATTTTCTTCTTCTTTACTCTATCACATGTACACACACTCATTCATACAGAATCTGCAAAATATAAAAGAAATACTTATCATCAGCTCAAAAACACAGAAAATAAACACTTCTTCCATCCCATGATCGTGGGAGGGGGAGCGCACTCCTGTTACTATGCCCTTAGTGAAATGATTGCCGAATGGTAATGCAGTATTTTTCTTTTCTTTTATTTGTTAATATTATTTTTACTTATACTTTAAATTTACACCGGAATACATTGGAACACATAGAAAATGACGCCGTGCTAAAAGACGGATACTCGAAATTCAGTGCTGTGGTTGATGAAAAGATAGAGTAAAAACTGTGATTACCCGAAATCCACAGATGGCAAATCTGTGGTTGGCGGAGGACTACTGTATCACAAAAGCACACACCTTCATCTGACACACGCTTATACCAAGCAAAGAACTTGTTTCATAAAACAATGGGGTGTCCAAAGGTCTTAAGGCACCAAATGAAATATATATTGTAGGTAAAATAAAAAATCTGATACTCGGGCACTGAAGCATGTTAAAAAGATCCATGTGAAAAACTATGCCTGCTTTGAGAAAAAAAATGGCTACCTTCTCCAACTAATAACTGCAGAGGCTTGGAATCCAAGCCTTGCAGTAGCTACATCACACCACTCACACACGTATCCATGGTACCCCCTCCTTCCATCCATAAAAAAAAAGAAAACTTTAACCCTTTCGCTGCATTTCCCGCTCTTGCTATTTTATTTTGGCTACTGACTGATGATTTTATTCAGCTGAGGGTAACCTCCTGCAGCCAAAGGGTTAAGTCATGTACACCTTGCCCTTTCCTTTCACTTCTTTAATCTGCTACAGAAGAAGCTATCCAGCTCATTTGCATATATTGTTATCTACTCATGCACATATTTGCCAAGTACTAAAGTATAGTGTCTCCTCTTTTTAAGCTGTTATAAAAATATTTCATCCAGGGTTAATTTTATATCCATTCCCTTGGGGATTAAAAAAAAAATGTACCAATGAAAATTTTTTGTAAAGAATGACAGACAAAATTATCAGTATACAGCTAGCATAAAAAAGAGGACCAAGTGTGTATTTTCAGTTAAGACACCCTGCTGTAAGGTAAGTAAGTTTAGATTGAGTTTTTGTTTTTTGCTTATAAAATTTCATAGAAGTAGCCAGGGAGAATATAATTTACATTGCTGGAATTCTTCTAAGATAGTGATTAATTTGAATGTAAACATGCAATAGTTTGCACTAGACTAAAATTTTGGTATTCATTTTGCACAAACATTAAAGAGCACAATTTTCTTGATATTTACTCCACTGGAAACGAATGTAAACATAGAACAGATTATTGAATTACTGAATTGGCAGACTAGCCCATCAGCTGATGCGTACAACAAAACGTCATGTTCGTAAGGATTTTTTTAATCGAATTTTTGTTCGTTAACCGAATTGAAGATTCTTATGGAAGGTAATTCGTAAACCGAAATTTCGTTAACCGAACCATTCGCTAACCGAGGGACCACTGTGTATATATATATATATATATATTTCATTAGCCCAATAAAGCACGCGGACTTCTACATACAATCAACACCTCAACCCGCCAGGATTTGAACCCACGGCCCATGAGCCCATGACTGTGACCGGGGAACACTACCTCTGGACCACTAGGTAACTAAAAGCAGTCCTAGACTCTGTTATATTTCACACAAAGCCTGTTCAATGAGCTTATGGTGCCGTGAACCTCTAATAGGGACTACCCGTATCACGTAGGTGGTCAGAGTAACGTTTTACCAAATCCGGCTTCGAAACACGAGGATCCATATATATTTCATTAGCCCAATAAAGCACGCGGACTTCTACATACAATCAACACTCAACCCGCCAGGATTGAACCCACGCCCACGAGCCCATGATCAGACTGGGAACGCTACCTCTGGACCACCAGGATACTAAAAGCAGTCCTAGACTATGTTATATTTCACACAAAGCCTGTTCAACGAGCTTATGGCGCCGTGAACCTCTAATGGGGACTACCCGTATCACATAGGTGGTCAGAGTAACGTTTTACCAAATCCCGCTTCAAACACGAGGATGCATATATATTTCATTAGCCCAATAAGCACGTGGACTTACATATAATCATGAGTCACAGTCATGGGCTATGGACCGTGATATATATATATATATATATATATATATATATATATATATATATATATATATATATATATATATATATATATATATATATATATATATATATATATATATATATATATATATATATATATATATATATATATATATATATATATATATATATATATATATATATATATATATATATATATATATATATATATATATATATATATATATATATATATATATATATATATATATATATATATATATATATATATATATATATATATATATATATATATATATATATATATATATATATGCAGGTATAAAAGCTAAACGTCGCATTCTGGACTGAACAAAAACATGTTCCCACTGCCTGCAAGAAGTAGAAGTCTAAAACTGGAAAAATTAAAGAGGAGAAAAAATTATCAAAAGTACCCAATACTTGAAAATATAGTGTGGACATGTACGAATATCATACATATGAATTAAGTTTGGTCAATATCCAATCGTCCAGTCTTCATAGATCATCTTCGTACATATGAACTGTGACCTTTAGCTCCTGATGCCCAAAGTTTATATAAAATGTAAAATTGTGTACAGGTATACCGTAGTATTTCAGTATCAATAGCAAAAAATTTGGTCAACATCCATTCACCCAAACCTGAGATACTGTGCATATGAGTCAGGCTGGACTGCAACAAACCAAAATGCCTCTACTTTGCATTGGGGTCATAAAAATAAACCTGTACACTATCAATACTTTTTCCCAGAGCAATTAAAATAAAAAAATTTAACTGTTTCATTTATAAAGGGAGAACTACAAACAATAAAAAGCTAATAGAGAACGTTATGCCAGCCACCTCTCTGCTCCTTGCACATACTCAGAGCTGCCAGAACATGAAGAACCCTTCGATCCAAAGCAAGAAGATGAGGCTTGGTAAGAACGGGAAATATTGGATCTTGTGCGAGAAGTTCCTGCAGTGCTCGAGACAGTCCTCCACCACTCAGTAGTATCAGCCTCTCGTATGTTGTCTGTCGTAGTCTAAAGAAAACAACAAAGGTAATATTAATCTTCCACTGATGTATATTACAGAAAGGTCATATTTTTATTAGTTTTGATAAGAACTCACTTAGATTTAAAAGTCATGCATAATTTTGATAATTTTTTCAAGTAAGATTTTTGTTTTCCTTTAATCTAAAAACAGTACTGTTAAGTCTAATATAGTAATGGTGTGTACAATTTATCAATGATTGTGGTGTTTCTACCAGGAGAGGTCAAACACAATACTGTACAGGCAATGACCATTATACAATGGAGTTACGGACCTCAAAAACCCATCACTAAGTGATCGATCGTATATCTATATTAATAACTTACGGGGGGAAATAGGTTCTGTTCCCGAGACCCTGAAGAGCCCAAACAAATTATTTATCCTGATACTATAATGATTAAATGTCTAAATAACTCAAATAACTTATAGACATAAAAATAATAAATTTATAAAAAATAATTTTTTTTTTCATTTGCCTACATGTTATGTATATGTACAGTAGTAAGATGCAAACCTCCAGCTGTCACTTAGGGATTGCCATTGTTATTGCACATCACTTTTTCATAGTGATAATGCATGAAAAGCACAAAAAACAAACAAAAAAACAATCAACATATCATCATCACTCAAGTGATGAAAAAACACAACACACTTCATTTATCACGTAACATTTGAGCAAGTGAGTCACAGCGGAAGGACGAGTCAATATTAACAGTAGCCTCTGCTGGGAGAGGCCTGAACACTGTCAGACCACGGCTGGTGGCCTGAGACTCATCTCCAGTGTGGCTGGTGGACCGCTATGGTTGCTGCTAGGCTCTAGTGCGGATGGTGGACAGCTGTGGCTCAGCTCCCTAGCAACTGGAGAACGGCTGTAGTTCTAATGGACGTGTAAATGAAGGAGAAGTCAGCTTCTTACAGAATTGGTGGATGTTGGTCTGCCTGGCATTCCCAGTAACAATAACAGCATCCTCCAAAGTTTTAGCAAATTTCACACTTCGGGAAAGGTTGGGGTCACACTCACTGGACACGGAACTAGCATTCTGAACTGAATCCAGCACCTTATGCAGGTATTTCTTGCCCAAACCCCTGGGCTGCTGCTCCTGTTCAGGCTCTTCTGCTTCTTCTATACGAGCTCTTCATTGGTGAGATCTGCAGCATTTTTTGGGGGGGAGGGGCGAGGGGGGAAGATAACTCTGCTGAGGTTGGCTGTTATTACAAGAGATCTGAGAAAGAGGACAGTTTGATTTTTTATTGATTCTGGACACCTGCAGTACAACAAGAGTGCCATGAAAAAAAAAAGAAAAAAAAAAGAGAGAGAATAAACTTAACATGTTATTAATATCCAAGATGAGTACAGTAGTAAAATTATTACCTGCAGCACTGCAGTAGAGGAGCCAGAATATCCATGTGATCAACATAAGCATCACCAAAGCTGAAATTACTTCCTTTCATGAGTGTGTGTGAAACATAAACAGTACACCTTTTCACATATACGTTGAGACATTGTTATATACCTATTTGACATATTTCATAACCTTTGTCAATCATTTCTGTTAGCATGAACGAACAGTTATTTTAGAATGTCATTCGATATGTGTTCTGTCATTCGGTTATTAAATATGTCAAATAGGTATATAACAATGTCTCAACGTATATGTGAAAAGATGTACTGCACCTCTTAACAATACAATACATGAACTGAAAAGCAAATTTACCTGCTGTAAAGGCAGTCCCCGGGTTATGTACAAGTTCCGTTCCTACAGACATTTTTAAGTTGAAAATGTATATTAGTCAAACCACATTCCTTATGTGCGTACTTACTGAAAATCCCCCTATACCATAGCCTAAGTCCTTTTATATATATATATATATATATATATATATATATATATATATATATATATATATATATATATATATATATATATATATATATATATATATATATATATATATATATATATATATATATATATATATATATATATATATATATATATATATATATATATATATATATATATATATATATATATATATATATATATATATATATATATATATATATATATATATATATATATATATATATATATATATATATATATATATATATATATATATATATATATATATATATATATATAAACACAGTGGAGTCTGCATTTACGCGGTCAATTGAACCCGTGGAGTACCGCGTAAAACGAGAAACGCATAAATGAAATAACAGAACATATGGGATTAATTGAAATAGAGACTCAGCCGACCCCCAACTCCACTTTTTAAAACACAATACGTACGTTGTAGTAAAAATAACATCTTAATTTTATGATGGTATGCACACACAATTAATATTTAAGAGAAAAACAGTTGCCCGGTTAATGTTCATTCAAATAATGGACTCAACTCCCCCCCCCCTTTTCCCACGCTGCTGGCTCCTCCCTCTCTGAGAAATGTTTGGGTGAAAACAGTAGGCTTACATTTTTAGTAATAAATAATACCTCAGACTAGAGTTAGGATAATATAATTGACATTGCTGAATTCCTTGCAAGGCCAGGAATATTTTGAATATAAACGTCATATATTTTGCACAAAAGATAAAATTTTTGCTCTTTCTAATCAAAATTCTTACATTAGATCTAAAATTTGTATGTCTAATGCAAATTCCATGATGTTTATATTTAAAATAATCACAATCTTATGAGGAATTCCAGCAATGTAAATTATATTCTGGCCGGGTAATTTATATGAATTTTATGAGCTTAAACAAATATCTTTAGTAAATAAACAAATTATACTTCACCCATACACTATCTGTCAATCAAAATACCCCACCTCCGCTCCCCCCCTCTTCCCACGATCGCTGGGACCCTCTCTCCCTCCCTACCAGAGAAATGTTTGTGTGAAAACAGTAGGCTTACATTTTTAGTAATAAATAATACCTCAGACTAGAGTTAGGATAATATAATTGACATTGCTGGATTCCTTGCAAGACCAGGAATATTTTGAATATAAACGTCATATATTTTGCACAACAGATAAAATTTTTGCTATTTCTAATCAAAATTCTTACATTAGATCTAAAACTTGTATGTCTAATGCAAATTCCATGATGTTTATATTTAAAATAATCACACTCTTATACGAATTACAGCAATGTAAATTATATTCTGGCCGGGTAATTTGTGTGAATTTTATGAACTAAAACAAATATCATCAGTAAATACAGTAAAAAAATTATACTTCACCCGCGTAAATGACTAAATTTACCGCGTAAATAAAGCATTTCATTCTGGCAAGACACCGCGTAAATGACCAAATGCGTAAACAAAAGCCAAGTAAATGCAGACTCCAATATATATATATATATATATATATATATATATATATATATATATATATATATATATATATATATATATATATATATATATATATATATATATATATATATATATATATATATATATATATATATATATATATATATATATATATATATATATATATATATATATATATATATATATATATATATATATATATATATATATTTTTTAATTGCCAGAACCAGACTTTCACTTTCCGCGGTGCATCTACTCATATACGCGGTGAAGTATAATTTTTTTTTTTTTAGCTCATAAAATTCATACAAATTACCCGGCCAGAATATAATTTACATTGCTGGAATTCTTACAATATGATGATCATTTTGAATATAAACATCATGGATTTTGCATTAGACATACAAATTTTAGATCTAATGTAATAATTTGGTTTACACAAAGCAAATATTTTATCTTTTGTGCAAAATATATGAAGTTTACATTCAAAATATTCCCTGACCTGCAAGGAATCCAGAAATGTCAATTATATTATCCTAACTTCAGTCTGAGGTATTATTTATTACTAAAAATGTAAATATACTGTTTAAACCCAAACATTTCTCTGGTAGGGAGGGAAGGTGGGGGTGGGGGGTAGGGAGGGAGAGAGGGACCGACCCAGCGAGTGTGGGAAGAGGGGGGGGAGGCGGAGGTGGGGTATTTTGATTGACAGATAGTGTCTGGGTGAAGAATGTTTTTTTTTTATTTACTGAAGATATTTGTTTTAGCTCATAAAATTCATACAAATTACCCGGCCAGAATATAATTTACATTGCTGGAATTCTTACAATATGATGATTATTTTGAATATAAACATCATGGATTTTGCATAAGACATATAAATTTTAGATCTCATGTAATAATTTGGTTTACACAAAGCAAATAGTTTATCTTTTGTGCAAAATATATGAAGTTTACATTCAAAATATTCCCTGATTTGCAAGGAATCCAGAAATGTCAATTATATTATCCTAACTTTAGTCTGAGGTATTATTTATTACTATACCTTAAAATCTAGTGTTTTCACCCAAACATTTCTCAGAGAGGTAGGAGCTAGCGAGCTGGGAAGAGGGGGCAGAGTTGAGTCCATTATTTGAATGGACATTAATCTGGCGACCGTATTTCTCTTAAATATTAATTGTGTGTGCATACCATCATAAAATTAAGATGTTATTTTTACTACAACATAGGCATTGTGTCGGAAAAAATGGAGTTTGGGGGTCAGGCCATTCTCTATTGGAATTAATCCCATATGTTCTGTTATTCTATTTATGGGGTTTTCGTTTTACGCGGTACCCCGTGGGTTCAATTGACCGCGTAAATCGGGGTATCACTGTACTGTACTCACCGGCAGATGCTGTCGTCTTGAACCTAGAGTAGCCAGACAATGACCACTCAGCTGAATGAAATAATTAACCGTAATAATGTCTTAATACTTGCGATGGAGGTGGGGTGGGGAATTACTGGGTCATGTTACTGACCTGACCTGATGCAATGTCACGTCACCCATAGTCGGGATGGGGGATTACTGGGTCTCATGAACTGAAAATGTCTTGAATAAAGACAAAAGCTAAGGTACTCCAGTGTTTCCCACTTACTGAATGTACAGTATAGTATACGTTACTGTAATCACTTTTTATGTTCTTTACACAATACAATAATATTCCATTCTTGGCTAATTTTATTCTAGTACAGTAATGTACAACACTGTACAACAAAAATTGTATGCAAAAAACAGCAGTTACTGAGGGAACAACCTTCTACAATGGCAGCAGAATATGAACAAAGCGATCCAAGCAGTTAGGCCAGCCACACACCTGGCACGTGGGGATTAATTGGAGCATGACGCAATCTATTGGAACTCACGGAAAATTTATTCCCTGCCCAGAATGGAGAAAATTGGAGATTTTCTTGGAACCGTCTCAGAAAATGTGCCTGATTTTCAACCTCAGAAACTTGTTCACAGACCTAGAACTGAGACTCTTTCCAAAAAAATCCAAATAAATTTCAATTACAGGTACTGGAGAGTTCCGACTAACGGGGATTCCGGCTAACAGAGATATTACTGTATTAACTGGTGAGGAAAAGAATATTGAACTGACAAAAACAAACAAGATGAGGAGCTACACAGGTCACAATTTATTTCATTCTGTTCCCTCAACACTGAGTTAAGAGGATGTAGCCAGAAAGCTTCAAATTTATAAGAAATTAAACTTTTCCCATAGGATTTATTACCTTTTCCCATTATCAAGAAGAACAACAGAAGAACTAGGTTCATCTGATACAACAGTGTAATGATGCCTGTCGCCATTTTGGATGAGGAAGTCGAACACAGCAGTGTCCATGAGGTCTAGGAGGCGAGGGGATTTATCACTATTGAAGGGTGGGTGATGTAAAACTCTCTCACAGTAGTTTTCATTTTCTTCCCATCTGTAAACAACATAACCTCAAATTACACAAGGATTCCTGGATAAAAAATATATATTTTAAAATTTAAAGGCTCTTTTTTTACATCATATAAACTGGTACAGTCATAACAATTATTTTATGTCATTACAGGTCATTACTCACCACTTGACTGTTATCTCAAGGGTAGAAAATACTGTGCATGCAGTATACCAGCTCCAAGCATGCATGTCAGCTACCAAAGATAATTTAATACTGTATACTTGTAAACACCATGACTATCAAAACAGGAATTTTATCACTGTAATCTATCAGTTTAAAAGGTGACACAGTTTTGGGGATTCAATATTGATCCAGTCAAGATAAGTACCAACAAGAGTAGAGCTCATTATCCACAATCACATATGAGAAAGATCTGACTAAACTTTCTGAAGAATTAAAGTTCATCTTGTCTATAAGTACCAGGAAGGACTGACAGGGAGATTTATATTCTTCACTTATTGTCTTAAACGAAGTCCAGTACAGTAGGGTCAGGATATATCGTGACTATTAATAAAGATATTTTTATATAGCGGCTACCAAAATTATCAAAATTTTCCTATATATAGCGATAATTTTTTTACAGGTGAAGTGGAGGCTGGACCATCTGAGGAGGAAGCAGGACCATCAAGGGTGCAGGCAGGACTATCAAGGATGCAGGTAGGACCGTCAGGGGTGCAGGCAGGAGCGTCAGGGGGTGCAGGCAAGACCGTCAGGGGGTGCAGGCAGGACAATCAAGGATGCAGGTAGGACCGTCAGGGGTGCAGGCAGGACCGTCAGGGGTGCAGGCAAGACAGGGGGTGCAGGCAGGACTATCAAGGATGCAGGTAGGACCGTCAGGGGTGCAGGCAGGACCGTCAGGGGGTGCAGGCAAGACCGTCAGGGGTGCAGGGGGTGCAGGCATGACCAACAGGGATGCAGGCAGGACCCAGGGGTGCAGGAAGGGGGTGCAGGCAGGACTGTCGGCAGGCAGGACCGTCAGGTGTGCAGGCAGGACCGTCAGGGGTGCAGGCAGGACAGTCAAGTGTGCAGGCAGGACCGTCAGGTGTGCAGGCAGGACCGACCAGGCGTCAGGGGTGCAGGCAGGACCGCAGGGGTGCAGGCAGGACGGGTGTGCAGGCAGGACCGTCAGGTGTGCAGGCAGGACCGTCAGGTGTGCAGGCAGGACCGTCAGGTGTGCAGGCAGGACTGTTAAGTGTGCAGGCAGGACCGTCAGGTGTGCAGGCAGGACAGTCAAGTGTGCAGGTAGGACCGTCAGGTGTTCAGGCAGGACCGTCAAGGGTGTAGGCAGGTGCTATGCATACCAACTCAAGCGATGAGGAGGCAGCCGATGATGTTGGTGAGTCATCACATTTACATTCAATTAGGCATGTTTATTTCATATTTCCATGTGAAAAAAATAAATAAACAAATAAATAAATATATAAAAAATATGTATGAAAACAAGCACTAAAACCTAAAATGTTTCAGTTATAGTTCAGTGTTTAGGCACGCAGGTGTCACGTGACGCGGAGGACGTTAGCTGTGAGTCGAGTGGAGCGAGTGATGAGTCAGCAGATTCCGACTTTTAAGGTGAGTGTAAATGGGTTGCTAGTGACGTGAAAAGTGAAGTGAAGAGAATGGAAAGCTTAATGGAAACGATTTTATACTGTAACTAATATTTTTGGTTTGTTCATTTATGTAGGTGTGGGAGGCATGTGGCGTTCCCGAGATGGCGCATCACCTGCCGAGTCTGGTGTTCCCTGCTTTAGTTAAATTGGTTGCTAATGACATGAAAAGTGAAGTGAAGAGAATGGAAAAGATTTAATACGTACTCTAATATATATTTTTTTTCGTTTCTTTAGGTGAGGGAGGCAGTGTGGCATCTGGTGTTCCCGGGATGGCGCGTGAGATGGCGCATCAGCCTCGAGTCTGTGTTCCCAACATGGCGAGTGGGATGGCGCGTCAGCTCCCGAGTCTGTGTTCCTTCAAATTGATGCTGATATTGAAACAGCCTGTTTTTCCCGAGTCTAGTGTTCACTGGTGCTTTAGTTAGTAAGAAAATAAACTCGTTAAGTCAAGTTTAGTCACTTTTATTGGCCTCCGGAACCTAACCCTATTTTCCCCATTGATTACAGGTAATTATATATCGCGATATATCCTGACCCTATAGTATAAGATACATCATTGAACTCACAATAGACTGACTTACTTCACTGTGACGAGATAAAATGTGAAAATGGCTCTCACAAGCAAAATTGCCCATTAGGGTTAGTGGATACAGCACACTGTATATATTACTAAACCTGAGGCATGCAAAGAGGCACCATGGCAGGCACTGCACTCAACTACCAACACTTTCCCAACTGTAACCTCAGGTAACCCTTTACAGCTAAGTGGACTGGGAGTGCCGCAGGACTAAACAAGCAACCTTTGGAATGTGAAGCTGCCACAACCCACAATGATGTACTCATATGGTGTGATAATATACAAGGAGCAGACAGTACAGTGAAATGAATGGGTGAAAAAAACAGAGCATACTTCTGGAGAAAATAATCTTCTGATGGCTCCACTAAGAATGAATCACATAGCATATTGTAGTTTTCTTTTGTTACACAGAGTATTTTAAATTACAAAGTGAACTTCTATTTCCATAATCAGGGATTTTGAAGGAGTTATAATCTATAAATGAATTTGGAAGCAAACCTCAAAAATTGAAAAAAATTAAAGTAGGTCCCATAGCTTCACTGCTTATTAGGGGCCAGCGTGAATACAAAGCATCTGGTACACAGATTCAGTACACAAGGAGGCAGCATGACACCCACTACTACATCCAACCACCTTCACTTCCCAAACTCAGACACCCATTTATAGCTGTGAGAACTGGAGGTCCCAGGGTGCTAATCAGCAACCTTTAAAACTGGAGCCGAGTATTGTATCCACTTGACCACCATACCGCTTAACTCATAGAATTAAGTCTATTAATTACACTAATATGTTCTCTTAAACAAATTCTCTTGTCTTAACTGGTACACAAACACACTTCTTCTGGACTATGAAAACAGGATTTAAAGTGTATCCAAAAGACTGGGAAAAGGAGACAGATATTCTTTCATAACTGCCATGAGAATTGTAAAAAGTGACAAAAACAATAAACTTCTGGCTAGAGTACAAACACTCTGTCTCCCTTCAGATATTTCAGAGATGCCACAATACATTTTCTTTACTTCATGCAAACATATGAATGAAGTTAACTTAAAATTAATAATGTTTAGAGGATTACGTTGAAATTTTTTAGAGGACCACGATGAAAAAATTTATACCCTAACTACGATAAATATTAATAACACTCACAAATAATGAAATACTCTACCTGTATAGTGTAAAACAAAGAATGAACACCCACGTCAAAAGAAGGTTTGAGGAGAGATGAATAAAGTTAGGCAAAATTCTAAAAGCATGTTAGAGTTTCTGAAGGGAAAGACTATACCCAATATGAAGAATAAACAATTATCCAGTGCAATATCATACAGGTTAGTGATGGTAATGGGGGTATCACTGGCTGACTAAGACAACTCAGTGATGGGAGTTATAACAAGTGTACTTACTGAGCCAGCTTTGTGCGCTTGTATGTGTGTGCCCAGGGGTGGGGCAGGTGCATAAGTGGAAGACGTTGAGGCAACCAAAGGATGATGGTACCCTCTAGAGTGCGGCCATTGTCACACACCGAAGAATCCTTGTGGCAGTAGTAACAAACTCCATAAAAACAAAGTCGTCCCCCTGGAAAACCCTTATATTTGCAGACACTCAAACACAAGCAAAAACTTGTTTAATGTGTAAATAATAATAATAATAATAATAATAATAATAATAATAATATTAATAATAATAATAAATAATAATGATGCAAAAGTGAGTGATTGATCCTGAATTCCCACTTTATAGGTGAGCCTGTACAGTATCAGGTGGCTCATGTAACAGCCAGGCAGGACTATAGGCTGAAAAACCCCGAGTTCCCAGTTTATACATTAATACCTTCCCACCATACCTGAGTCCCTTACAAACGAGTTAATAAATACTGTATACCCAATGAGACAAATTATATTCAAATTGTAAGCCAGAAAAAATGGGGAGCTGAATATATTAACAAAGATAAAGAAATAAAAAAATCAGCACCAGAAAATATAGTTTAGTGCACAAATATGCAGTAGACTGGTGGTGATGGTGTAGACGGGTGAGTGTAACCATGCTAACAGTTATGACTCGGTGACATAATCATAAAAAAAAAAAAGATAATAGGAACTAGTACCTATAGAAGATCAACACATTAGCTAAGCCCTCCTGGGGATCAACAAACTACATAGGCCACAGTTATCAAAAAGAACACAAGAAAATATATCGAGTATGACAATCCTCCTACTACTCCACACGACACAGAAATAAAGAGTTTAGTGACTTATAAAACTGCAATAACTAAATCCTTTGAAATCCAGAAATCATCTTCCCAGGAATCTCAGAATGATGAGACAACTTAAAATTAATCAAAGTAAACAGAGCAATTTGAGAGCTCATGGACAGCAGACACCCATTATAGACATCCCACTGCCCTCACCCTTGACACAATCATCAGCTGGGGTCCTTTATGCCAGTGCTTCCTCTTTGATTCTAAAAACATGTAATATGTAAACATTTCTTTAAAAAAATGCCCAGGATTAATACTAGTATTTAAGACTTAAGATTTACCTTCAGAAATTTCACAATTTAGGTGCAAAGATATGTTCTAGTTTTAAAACACACTGGACTGCTGTATATCCAACCTCCACAAACCAACCTGCCACATCACTGCTATTGTTGTCAAGTATCAAACATAAAGAGCAGGAAACCGATTTAAAATAAAGACCAAAAATAATGTAGGGGACCAAGTTAACCAAAGTGTAAAATTAAGAACTGATATCATACATCATAATTATATACTGTACTATACAGTGTGAAGTTGACTAAACTGGCAACTTTATGGATAAGTAGCAGAGGCTGTGAGCCAGTTAATGCAATGTGTGCTGTAGATATTATACACCTATTGTTGTGGTACACATGTAATAAGTGAAATTTCCTTAAAAAAATTACATATGGCTTCAGTTATCTATTATACAGTTCTGTATTGTATTGCACATATATATATATATATATATATATATATATCTTTGGGATAGATAAGGATTGGTTTGGTTTGTTTGATAAATTGTTTACACATGTCTTGTTTATAGGACAGTGGGATTTTTAAAGTACCTGCCTCACCTTGCTGTTGTAAGTTATTCTAACAAGATGCAACACTAAATTAAACTGTAATTTACCCCAGAATGTTAAAAAAGGGATGCTTCATGGTTTCATGGGTGGGGGGGTGGGGGGGCATAAAGAGGGCAATGACTTTTTTAAAAGCACAGATAATTCACAAATCTACCAAGGTGTCACTCCCAATAGTGCCAATTTTCCAAGATTACACTACACTTTTCTCCTAAAGATGGACAACCAATACTGTATATACCAGTACTGAATCTGTAGAAACTTAAGATCTTCAACAACATTAATTAAGTCAGCTCACACAAGCGACAGATACAAAGCAACTAGACACCACAAACAGAGAGAACTTGCAAGGATGATTCCACTGATGTGACTGCACCAACCTCTTCTCAAAAAAAATGTTGCTGCCAGTTTCCTTGATGCCACAGGTAATATCTGTCGCTTTAGGGATACTGATCGACCAACTGCTAGAGGTACCATAGGAAAACCCAGAAGTCGACTGAGGTGAAAGGCAGCAATCTCTCCATTGTGACGATCAGCGCCTGCGTATACTTCCCCTTCTATGACTTCATCGCGAGGATACCTTACAGAAAAAAAAAATTTACAATTGTATACTGAAATTATAAAAACTGAATTTAAATAAAATTGTGAAGTTTAATATTTGCATGCAATAATTCTGCAATGGTTACTTTGCCTCATATCTGAAAATGCACAATTATATGCAATGTGTCATACATGACAAAAACTAACAATGAAGTGACTCTTGTTTGGTAGTCATATTAAAGTTTACCGGGTAGTATCGTAGAACTTAATTCCAAATGGAAGTGAAGCAAAAGATTAGATATTAAAAGTTGACCACAACAAACTGTATTTGAACTTACTGAAATCTAACATTTACATTGATGAATCTAAATATACAGAGATGATGGATACATATGGGTAGATCTGTCTAGTCTCTCAGTGAACTAATGAGTATACAGTAAACCTTTTGTAACCCGACCTTCATGTAAGCAGACACTGTCTAGTCCATTAATCTTCTTTTTGGTAAAACCTAAAACTTTTGAAACATTCTGAAAATTAGTCCAGGTCTACTTGGTTCACACTGATACTACATGGTACATCAATTTTTATCCACAAAAATAAAATAAATTATCGATTTTTACGGGAAAGAACAGAAGTACAGTACTGTACAGTACTGTACTGGCAAATGGAGCACCAGACGCAACCAAGATGTTTACATCATGCCATCACACCATCCATCTATGACAAATATGTAAAAAAAATACTAGGCTAAAATTTCATAATAGTGTTCATTAAAACCTCTCAAGGTCACAAATCCATCTACAACATAAAATTGGGGAATTATGACCAAGAGAAGGAAACAAAAAAATGCAGCTAAATGAGGTTTTGTGTTAAATTAGCTATGTAAAAATTATAGTCTACAGTGTCGTTTCTGGCCACATCCCACAACATACGGTGAGTTTGGTAAACGAGGCAATTGCAGAGAATGGAAGGAGGCCAGAACCACTATCAAGCTGAGAGTCGCCATCAAGGACTATTTCCGGCTTGAAATACAGACACTTTCCTTGACAAGAGAGCCAAGTTTGAAACATTGCTAAAGACCCACTAACCTGATATAGAACTGTTGTACAAAAACGGGAAGATCGACCCAGAGGATTGTGAGTTTAACATAGAAGAATATGACTCATTTACGAACCTTTCTCAGGCAACCTGTAAGAGGGGTGTAGTTATTTATGCTAGACAGGACCTTATAGCCAGCCAGGTGAGAGTGCAGGAGTAGGATGCTTTAGAAGAATCGATGTGATGTAAAATTAAACTGATGGGGAGAGATTTACTCATTGTTGAATGTATCTACAGATCCCCAAACTGCAGCTTGTTAATCCATGGGAACTTAAGAGTCTTAATAGACAACATAATGGCATTCAACTCTAGCCACCTTGTCATGGTTGACTTCAACTATGCAACATCAACTGGAGGAATAAAATAACACCAAATGACCTTAATAATCCAGCTACTCTTTTAGAAGAAACTCTGAGAGACAATTTTTATTCCAATATGCCAAAGATCTGACTCACTATAAAAGGGAACAGACACCCAAACCACTGGACCTCATCATAACCAACAAGGAAGGTATGGTGGCCAAGTTGGAACATCTAGCTCCCATTGGCACCAGTCATCATGTGACAATGTCCTTCAGATTTAACTGTTACTTGGATAATAAGAGCAGGCCAAGGTTAAAATATTACAGTGGCAATTATGGCAGAATGAGGGAAGAGATGAGGGGTATTCACTGTCCTGACTTGCTAGTAAACAAGAATGCAGATACTACCCTGAGCATTAACATCAATAAAGTGAACTATTTGATTGGTATACAGTACAGTATACTGTATACAGGGGTATTCCCAAGACCAAACCCATTGGCTCCAAGAATACAAGGAAACTGTTACACATGAATCATGTGGCGGTTGACAAAGTTAAGAAGAAATCTGAGAAATTCAAGAGATGGGTTAAGACAAATGATGAGCAGGATAGAAGGGCCTATGCCAGAGATAAAAAAACACTTGCCATATTTATATTTCAGCACATCATCCTAGTAAGAAACCATAACAACTACTGATATCAAACTTGTTGTAAAAGAGACAAAAGGTAATAGCACATTAGTTCTCTCACAATAGTTTACCTTGCATGATCAGGATCTATTATCCTCAGAGGGATTTACAGTATACAGTATATATTTACCTCAGAGGGATTTACAGTATACAGTATATATTATAAAAAATGTACGAAAACAAAATCCTGCACTAACCATTTTGGTTTGAACACAGCTTTCTGGCCACCTTTGAGCATAATTGCAACCTTAAGTTGTGTGCCCTTGTAGCCTACATCAGCAGCTATGATGGGTGCAGTAGAGAGTGCAGCCAGCACATCTCCCAGGCCACGAGCTGAATCTGGAACCAGCGACCTTGGTTTGGCCCACTGTAAACATTTTTGTAAAGGATTACAGTACAGTATAGCTCTTACTACTGAAATTAAGATATAGTACATATACAGTATCTGGTTTGAACTAAATGAATGACTTTTTTGAAAATTTGAAGAAGTTTAATTACAATTGGAATGTTCCAGCCCTTATCACTTGTACCTCACTCTGACACATCGGTGTAAAATACAAACAAATTTAGTGAATGGAAATAAACAGTTATATATTTGTTGTAGTCCATCACCTTAACTTGATACAGTACTATTCATTATCTAATGGTGGTATAGATGACTGAACATCCCTAGATGGGCAATATATCTGATGCATGACCTGTCTCAAGGTAGGCTTGCTTACTACACCATGGGTAAAATAGATAAATATAAGTAATTCAGAAATGTAAAATAAGGCAAGTGAATGTCCAGCACTTAAAAAATTGTGCACTGCATCTATTGCGTATGAATAGAAAGAAGTGAGGGCAGGAAACTCCACAATAAAAGTAGCTAGTGGCATAAGGACTGACACATTACAAATGGGAGGGGAAATGACAGATTATGTTTTATTGGTGCAATGCCCATGGGAAGAGCAATAAAAAAGAGAAAGAAGTGACTTTATTATCTGGCAGGAAGGAGGTTTTTTATGGGTAAGGAGAATGTGGGGAACTGCTTCTTGAGGAGGTACAACTTTAGAAAGAATAGTTTCTAATAATCATAACTAGGAATGTGGGGTGCCACACCAAATGTGAGAGCACGAATAGATGTTGAGCTATGGTTTTGTAAACATGGGGGAATTTTGCTAGCAAGTTTAACAAACATACAACTAAATTGAATAATATGTCAAAGGAAAACTCAGTTCAGGTTACACACATGACCCAAACAGAGCTGGTGAACACGTAATGCCTCACTGAACATGACAACTCTACTCGTCTTGGAAATGTCCCAAGTCCTTTAATTCTCTCCAATTATGCCAAATGTGATGACTTCCACTACACCCTTACCAAATACAGTAGTGTATTCAAATATTTATTGGAGAGTTCAAGTGAGTTAACCCTTTATTGGTGGGTATATTGTGTGCGCTGTCCACCCAGGACTAGGTATATTTTGCTATGTAGAAAACTAAGCAAACCACCTAAGATAATATTGTCAAAATAAATGTACATACACTGTAACCTAATTGAGGTTTTTCTTTCATTCTTTTTTTTACACCATAAGAAAGCTGATTTTTTCTATAAATTCATATTTTGTCAGTAAATACAAGAAATAATAATTTCTTGGAGAAATCAAGAGTTAAACTGGGAGTACTGTACAGGTATACATATTTTCTGACTTTAGAGTGGGCTGCCAGCCTCATCATAGAAACCAGACAACAACACAGCCACGAGCGTACACAAACAATGGCGTGAATTAACCTAAACATCATAATTATGATGTTCACCACCTTTTACACGTTTTCCTCTCAAACTTTATATGATGTCTGCTGCCCTTTAAGGGTTAAAGGATTAGTGTAACAGATTAAAAAGTAAATAAATACTACTGTATCTATTGTGCATAAATAAATAAATTAATTATAAGGACAGAGTCTAACTGTACACAAAGTGCTGGAAGAAAGGAAACTTATGGCGATCAACTAAAAATAATTAAAGTACAGTTTCTAACACATGCAATTTCCAAAACACAAACACAGCAGGCAAATTTCACACAAAGATACATACCAATTACTGTACTGCATCGAACTTTCAACAGGTGTGACTAACCTTACGAGCCAAGTCCCAAGGGTCACCGGTAACTCTCCTCCTTGTAATGTCTCTTTTCAAGTTGTTTACAAGATCTGTGAGGTATGATGAAGGAGATTTATACTGTGCTCTAACTGCTGGGAGATGTGTGTAGAGAGCATTAAGCATTTGCAGTCCAGAACAATTGCGTTGGTTTCGTCTGTGGTATTCACTGAGAAAAAATGTAAATTTAAACATCTTTTTCAAGTATTTTAATGCTATCTAGTACTGTACTGTGCAGTAATAAGGGCCACACGGCAAGCCTTAGCTCATAATTTTTTTATTTATACATTACAAAACTAAATATATTACGCTAGTCATTGGTGTATCTCAGGGGCTTAATACAGCACAGAGTATTTGCAAAACATCCAAGTAACTGTGGGATACATACCACTTCACATAAAAATTAGTTAATAATTTTGTACGCTTTTTTATCAACATGATTTTCATTTAACATACAGCTACTCCTCGACTTACGACCACCTGGACATACGACCGCCTCAGTCGTACCAAAATTTTGTCAAATTACGTATTTTCGAGTCCCAGCGTCAGTGATTGCGCTGTGTACTGACAAAATTTTCGTTTGTAATTCACTTTAAAATGGCTGGCAAGCTTAAAAGTGAGAGTTTTGTGGTGCTGAGAAGAAAAAGAGACCCTTTTAGATTTTCTATGTACAGGGTGAGCATAAGGTCTTTCCATGATTATGAAAAATCATATCTCGAAGACCATTCTAGATAGAAACATAAATGTTGTAACACTGTGTAGACGAATTCATAGATTTTTTTCACGCATATTTTAAGCTGCAAAAAACTGTATGTTTGTACCTAGCATATGTTTTGTGTAATAAAAGTTTGTAATCAGGGAAAGACTTTATGCTCACCCTGTATTATTTAAGCATTTTAGACTTACGACCATTTCAACTTTCGACCTGGATTTGGGTCCCTAACCCCGTCGTAAGTCGGGGAGCAGCTGTATTTTAATGTAGAGAATGCAAATGTGTTATGAAAGTAGAGGAAAACAAACTTGAAATTACGATCATGGATTGTTAGCTAATGTCTGCCTGATACATGTTTCCTTGTTAGAAATAGATTGATGTCAGTCAAAACAAGAATACTGTACTGTATTACCCTTGCTATGGAGATTTAACGTATTCTGTATTCTGATGAAAATAAGTTTCGTGTTTCCTTGCTCCCCAACAAGGTTGGTACTACAGTCTATGCATCAACACAAATACAAATGAAAAACCCATGTCTTAAGTATTTTTATTTCATCTCTCTGTATTTTAAGATCTTATTCATGTATTCTGATTACCAAGAGTTTAACCATTTGACTGTAAAGTAAAATTTCTTAATGTTGCCTTATACAGGACAGCATATCACAACCTCATATCTGATTCATTACAACAAACTTTCAGTTTCACAGAATTACAATCATCAGACAGAAGTAGAGCATTTGCAGGACACACACGGACTCTTGGTGTAAAATTTTTAAAATATTACAATAACATACAGTAAAACTCCCCTAAGTCGGACTTCCCGCTAAGTCTGACTCGGTCTGAGTTGTAGGTGCATATGCAGAGTTGCAACCAGCCATGTGGAGCAACACCAGTCTCCGATTCTAATCTTTAATGATTCCTCTACTGCCGGATAATGGCGTCCAGCAGTAATTTAAGTGATTAAATAGTGACAGAGTACAATACATATTTTTAAGCAAATAAATTTAAGTTAAGTGTACATAAATTTACCCTGTAGTGTAATTAACCCCTACGCCCCGGGCTTGGGTGTTGCCGGCCGTGCCCCCCACACGGGATAAAATGAAAAATATATGTATAACCCCTGTATTTTTACTTTTTGCATATTAAGAATGTAGAATTGTGTGTGCATGTAACCGAGTAAAAAAAAAAAAAAGTATAGAAAGTTAAGTTTACCTATCCAAAACTATGAGTTGAAAAATAACCATAACATAACTCCTACCTACACCTGGTAGGGAGAACAGTAGGGGGAAGTGGCTGCCAGCTGACTCCCAGGGTCGCTTGATTCGAAACTTTTGCCAGGACCCAAATTCATATAAGCGGGGAAAACTTTTGCAACACGAAAAAGAGGCGGTAATTTAGAACATTTACATAAGGAATGTTCATATCCTTAACGTTCGTATCTTGAGGGATACCTGTACTGTATGTATTTCTACTTTAATGTTAAGCGTGTCAGACTAGCCGAAGTGCAGTGCCTCTCTCCACCCACCAAGGCTCCAACAATCATATGGGAAAAGGTGAGTGTCCTAGTGTTCAGTTGATATTATTTACTTTAATATAACATATACATTTCCTTCTTAAGGTTTTGGTCAGTTTTTTTACCACATTTTTGACACTGGGGATCACCAATAGAGGTTTATAACTCTAAGTTGGACTGGCTTAATCCCATACAGTTGAGGCAGCCTCCAACTTACAACAGAGATACGTTCCTGGACCCTGATCGCAATTAAATTTGTTTGAAAGTCAGAACAGTGTTAATTCCAGAGGTTAGATAAGGTTAAAAGCACAACCCTGCCCCTACAAAACAACAATAATATCCAATACATAACAAAAAATGTACATACTGAAAATGAAGTGATGTTAAACAATATAGAATAATCAAAATAATGAAAAAAAGGAGATTTTAATTACAAATTTTTGCGATGAATGTATTGAGATCTAATTCATAAGTGAGTGCGATCGTAAGTCGGATGGTCATAACTCGGGGACTGCTTGTACTGTCTAGTACACCTTTGGGAAGTTTTACTGTACTGTACTCTAAATATATTGTAATGGAGTTTCGGGGTTATATTAATGCCATGGCTCAAGACAGCAGTAGTATAGAATCTGTAACTTCCTAACATTAACCTAGATCTAGTTTCAGGTTTGCTATGTCCAAAAGTCTCTCTTACTGCCTTTCCAATTACCACGTCCTCAACAAGAAGCTGATTTGAAAACTTTCTTCTGAATCACATGTATTTCATCTGGCTTGTGTGCCTTTATAACATCTGCTTTAATAGAGTAGGCTAAGGGCCCCTCCAGAATAATAGCCCTTACACCTACAGCATTATAACTAACACATTATTGTACATATTTGCTGACAGTGGATCGACTCTTTTGTGGATTAGTACAGTACTGTATTCTTCAAAATGGACGAAGTAATCCATCAGCTCCTGAATAACAAGTCTAAGAATCAACACTTGTCTGGCTACCTTGCATCAGAGCACTGAAGTGGCTTATATGCATTAGGGAATTTTTTATTATTATCAAAATCTTATCAATAATTTCAAAAGACAATGGCAACCCTTTTCTAAACTTTGACCATAACAGGCACTTCATCACTCCATGTTCTCATAAGTTTCAAGGAAGTACAGTACTTTAAAATACTAACCTATCCCTGATGGCATAAACTTCTCCCTGGAGGTAGACTTTGTTTCCCACTGGGTCGTTGCTGGGTACTGTAGAGGGAGACAGGGTGCGGTGGTGGTGGTGAAGAGGAGAAGAGGCTGGTGGAACCCTGACCACTAGGAGCAAATTGATGGCAGCAGTAACAGCAGCACACCAGGCCATCCACATCACCACGCGCCGCACCCACCTCATTGCTCATGATTCCGTCCTTACAGGCTGTTGTAAACAGTTGCACAGTATATGTGACATAGTAGTGAGCAATGTTATAGAAGGAAACACAAACTTCCACACACAATTAAATTCCTTCACATTATCTTGAAAAAATAATCTTTTAAAAGAAATATTAGTGATGATGAACAATTCATAACTTTACTAACATGTATAGTACAGTATTACCAGTCTCTTCCCTTGTAGACTACAGTCCAATAACAGGTAGTGAAACATTTTCTAAACACACATACAATACACTTGATTATTTATAGAGGTTTGGGACAGACCTCCAGCAGACATATACAGTACAGTATTCATTTTTTGTAGATACAATAATTTACACCATGTACCATACAGTAGTGGTCAGCTATTACACGAAAAACCTAAATCCAACTCTCAAACATTAATTAATACTTTATGTACTGTACCTTAAAACAAAGTTATCAAACCACTCCAGGAGATTTATTGACATTCGAATCTATCATGCAGTAACTGTATTCTAAGATGCAGAGGAGCCACGTTATTTTCTATTCACAAGGTGTGAAAGCCAAGCATACGATGAGACATTTGACGTTAAAATTGAAGGATCAGGGCGAGGTGGTCATAACCAGGATTCTATGGCACAGTACCCTGGGTACGTGACAAGTGGGTGGCTACTGCTGCATAAGCACACGTACTTGGAGACAGAAAAGAAGACATGCTTGTAGTGTAACATTATGTAGCTTGGCAGCAAATTAACAGCGTGGATGGTGACTCGTTTGCCACATGAACGTTTTTGACGTGTTTTGAAAAATTTTGATCTTACCTAACCTAACCAAACAAATCTAACCTAGCCACAGAACATAGGAACTATATCTAACCTAACCTAAATTCCTAAGATTCCCCAGATGACCAAAGCTAAAGGAAGACCCTTGTTAACTACCTCATGAATAGAATGAAATGGCTGGAAGAATTGCACATTCCTTAATTTGGGCTTTCTGGTGTTTTTTATCCTTAACATCCCTCTCTGTGATGTGGGACCTAAAAATTACCTATCCTACCATTAATAGTATACCAGAAAATAAGGACAAGCAATTTTTGCCTTGGCACCGTTTCATACCTAAACCGTAATTTTTCCTGCAGACATAAATAATTTATTGTTGACAAGATAAATTAATAAAAATTTACCTAACCTAACTTAACTTCCCAGTAATGAAAGGTTTAACTTAGATTAGGTAATTATTGACGACTGACCTACCGGTGATTTAGCATAGTAAACAATTATAAAGACGCTGCAACTTCACCGTGTTTTATAACCCAAACCTAACCTAACCCAACCTAACCTTAACCTTATGCTAACCTAACCTAACTTTAACATAAACCAAGCATAACTTAACACCTGCCATGTGCAAACTTACTGCTACTGAGATGGGGATAAGTGGCGAGCCATGGTGTTGAAGAAGTGATGAAAAATTATATCACGGTCTCGGTGAATGCGGCCGCTTGTTTTTCTTATTAATTAGTTTCTTAGGTAATTACATAGGACTAACCAGTGAGCAAAATTGATTTTAAAAAATTATAAAAACATCGGTTTTTCACTGATATATTGTAGTGGACACTGTTGTAGTTTGTGGAAATATGTTAAAAATTTGATATTTTAAAAATAAACGTTACTTTAACATTTGTGGGTATGAAAAACAGACCAAACCAACCTAACCAAACCTACCTAACCTTACCTAACTTTCCCTGGACCCCCTGGTATATTAAACAGAAAGAACTTACTATGATATGATGAAATTTGAGGCATTTTCTGGACGTGAGATGATACGGCCGCATCGGCACTATGCACCCCGGGCGGCGGAGTGATTTACTGTGTTGGTGGGTTCCACAATAAATGATTATCATATCAGAACTCACTGATGAAAATAATGTAAGAAAATAAACAGTCTCTATGTAAAGGAACAATGCCGTGATCTTTAAACAACTGAAGGGTTTCGTTGTCTTTACCCCTAAATTCACAAATTACGTTCATGTAAGATCGGCGACAATCTTCATACGACATGCTGAAAAACAAACTGGCCCAGGCGCGGGAAAAGCCTCTCAGCAGATCGGGGCCTCGTTACCGCCCGCAAGATAAATTAGTGCACACCTAGGCGTCTAATTATCTATGAAACGAACAATTTCCACAATAAATGATTATGTTATCAGAACTCACCGATAAAAATATTGTAAGAAAATAAACAGTAATAAAAATAACTCGCTCACTGGTTAGTCCTATCTATTAACCGTTTCTTGTTGCACTGGAACAAATTGCTCTCTGGTCATAAAACACAGGGATTCCCACAGTCTGGACAGTCTCTTCTGGAAGGAAGGATACTGAGGTCTTTGAAAAACTGGAGGGTGAGATCATCTTTCCCCTGAAGACACAAATTACGTCCATATAAGACCGGTGACACCCTTCCTATACCATGGTGAAAATGAAACTAGCAGCAGTGGTGCACGGGAGGGCAGCAAGAAGCGAGGTGGAATGTTTTGAAATACATCAATATGAATGGCTGTTTACATATGGAGATGAGACAACACCGTCGCCACCGAGAAGACAAAGTAGTGCGCACCTTAGGCGCCTAAACGAAGCATTTGCATAAGAAATGATTACCATATCAGTAGAGTACTCACTAGTGAAAATAAGTACAGGTAGTCACTAATGAAAATAGAGTTAGAAAATAAACACCAAAACAGATAACTCGTCGGCAAGTCAACCATCAATATTAACCTCACGTTATGTTAGGTAGGTTGGTACTGTACAGTATTGTGAATATGGCAATCCAAGCAGCACACACTAAATTCACTCTTAACAGTAACAAGAGGAAACAGTTAACACTGTATTTCATAGCTGCCAACACCTAACTGAATATTGAGTCATACATCGGGAGAAAGAGAAAAAATAATAAAAATTATTTATTCTATAATGTTTCTGTTGAATTTTTTTAGTGTTTTTTTTTATTTTAACTTTTATTTTATAATATTCGGCCAATCAGCATGAGTGTTGTTGATGCGACTCCATAATCTTGGGCAGCAATCAGCGTGAGTGCCGATGTGACGTAATACTTGTGCACCAATCAGAGAAAGTCTTGATTCACGGGCAGTTGGAAGATGGCGTCTGTGTGTGAAGGTTATACATTGGCTGACTGACACATTATTCAGCACGTTTTGGATGATGAAGCGGCAGCCGTTGATATTTTTAGGGCTCATGGTGTTCTTGTTTCATCTGTAAAGTGTCTGAGATGTAATTCGGAGTGTCACTACTATGTAGGTTGCCATGCATGACACTGTCGTAAGAGATTGACACTGACGAAGACACCACTTCCTCATTCAAGTCACATCACTCTATCCTCCTGTATATCTTACTTAAGGTAAGTTTCTTACACACTAGGGGTCAGGTTAGGTTAGGTTTTTTTTTTTTTACCTTCCACTTTATTTCATCTCAACAAAGGCTCGTTTCCGACGACATTAAAGGTCATATTTGTATTTAACACTATAAAAACCCATTTTAAAACTCAAATAGGTGTTGGTAACTACTACATATTTACAGGGAAACCGAAAGTAGGAAATTTGCTGTTCATCCAACCATTTCTCTCTATTCATGAAGACACAATATTTCATAAAAAGAAAATTTTCCTGAAGTGGCTAATTCACGTGAGTCTGATGCCTAAAGTAAAGCGACAAACATTTTCTTCAAGAAATGTAAAATTTAGCCATAAAAGCTTAATTTAACCATAAAAGCTATGTAAAGTGGCACCAAATAAAGTTCCAGATGCACAATATCTTAACACTGAGCAGTGATAACAGTACATCACTGACCAGCTGATGATCCCACTCGCTGGTGCTGTGTAATGTAACTGCCACCTTACAGTCTCTCAGTTGTACCCACTGCCAACAACAAAGGCATTCCGGAAATGCCCAGGTGCGAGGGCACACGCGACTCAATGGTTATTTTAAAACTAAAGGGCCAGTGGTTGGTGCCAAACTCGTAGATGAATGAGTGTCACGGTGCCAACAATAGTTGAGAGAAAGTTCGACAACTTGTCAATGACGTGAAACATTGGTTTCACTCCTCTAATTTCTTATCAACCAAGGTAACAATCACCATTACTTACTCATAAAGTCATTATACTTGGAAGCGGCGAGGTATATAAGAGAGTGTTAACGCCCTAGATGGTTATCACGTCCTACTGGTGAGGCTCCTTCGTCCTCCCCCACACCAGACACAACACTCGTCCGTGTCCTCCCATACTTGGCTTCATCTCATTTTGTGCTCGATAAAATAAGTTTTCATCCATATGAATTTTAAATCAATTTTATAATATTTAGCTCAAAATTAATTTAAGTACAAATAATTATATGAAGCTATTGCTAACAGAAATGTAATGTCTTTATTTAAATATATTTTTTCACTAAATCTCAATCGAACGATTTCTGAGGACAAGTTCGAAAATTACTCACTATCAAAATTTACTACATGCACAAGATAATTGTGAAACAATAACTATAAATGCACATAAAATAAAAACAAATAACGCCCAAGTATTATAAAATCTGTATACGTAGTATCGACAAAGGCAGAGGGAAACAATAATAATGAAATTCAGCTTATACAGAAGTTATACTACAGACGGGCAAGGGGCGACCTAACTGAGGTGTATTTTTTAAGCATCTCAAGGAGCACTACTCTAGTACTCAGTCGAGTGTCCTTACTTGGAACTGGCGGATGCTCGCCCCACAAGGGGTCACAGCACAAGATTGAAAAAGCCGCAGGTCTAGAAAACTGTGAGGGCAAACGTTTTCGGAGTGAGGGTTGTGAACTCTTGGAACAATCTGCCAGTGTGTTGTGAAGGCACTGAGTGTGAGCTCTTTCAAGACCAGACTTGTCCAACACTTATTTTAACTTATACTATAATACAATTTATGTTATTATGGTATATTTTGTTAGAATTTGTGTTATTCTCGTATACAGTGGTCCCTCGGTTAATGAGCACAAGTCGTTCCAGAAGGTTGCTCGTTAACCGAAACCATTGTTTCAATGGGTTTTTGGGTAGTTGGTTCCAGCTCGCCGAAAATTATATACAAACTAAAAATAAATGCAGCAAAGTACACTTACTTTGAGGTGTGCATGATGATGATGATGGGAATTAGAATGGGGGTGGAGGAGAAGGGAGAAGAGAAGGCATTGGGGTGGAAGAGAAGTCATCCCATGCCGCCATTTCACCCATAAAATTATAGTTCACTTGGTGTAATTCAAGATTATTTTCTTTAAATCAACACTGCACTGCATTATACTGTATATTGTCAATATGTAAAATGAACTTCAGAATGACCAATAATTGCACTGTAAAAATGTAAAAATAGTTTATGTTCAAGAGAGTCTGAAGCAGGGACACACACTGACGCCATGCTGGGTGTGTTGAGTGGCTTTTTGGCACGCTAAAAACTAGTTCCCTGTACTTCAATTATGTTAAATAATTGTTAAAATGACTAAAAACGTTAATATAAGACTAGGAAAATTATTGAATAGTACAACCTTCTTGATATTTACTCAAGTGGTAATAAATTTAAGCCCTAAAACCGATTACTCTATTGGCGGACTAATACTGTACTACAGCTGGTGAGCAGGCGAAAACATATTGGGAAAAATTCGTAAGGAATTCGTTAACCGAGGGTTTGCTCATTAACCTAAGTGAAGAATCTTATGGAAGGTAATTTGTTAACCGAAATTTCGTTAACCGAGGCGCTCGTTAACCGAGGGATCACTGTATTATACTATACAGTATACCCGTACCGTAAGTCATGCGATGCGGTCGAATGCCCGCCGCATATAACAAAATTGCTCAAAAAACCCTCAAGACTTAATGAATTTTATCAGTATCATTCTCTTCATTGTAGAGTTGACTACAAGATGCAATAAAATTTATATCGATATAAAACAAAGGCACAAAAATAATTGATTTTTTTTTTACCATTTAGAATAAGTTTCTTTGCTATTTTATAAAAAAACTATTGGTCGTATCAGAAATCTGATTACTGTGCTGGAAAGCTCATAACATTACACTTCTAGCAGTGTATAGTACTTGAAAAGTTGACTTTGACAATTTTGAGCTAGGAGGTTGTGAACGTATTGGTGTGTATATTTTTCTCTAATGTCTATTCGAAGTGACAAAAATAGCTATATGTATGCTTGTATTATTCTTTCATTTTTGGAGTATGTTGCAGAGCAATCAGTTACGAAGCCAAAGATAAATGTTTATGGCAATAATTTTTTTTCGGGGGGGGAGAATTGATAAATAAAAAAATAAAAAAAAATAAATAAAACAATCATAATCACCGTGCGTGCTGTCTCACCTGCCCTGGAGGCCACAGAGATGTGATCTTTGAACCGAAAAACTTAAAACTAACCTCATGCGCGACAGGGTTAAGTTAAATTACAGTACAGTACTAAATTTATAGTTAATTATTAAATTTACTTTGAATGCATAAAATTAAAAAGAAAACACTTCCAGGGAATAGCACAGAAAAGAAGCATCAATTACGTATAACTCCCGGTTGTACAGCTCCTCCCCGACTTACGACCCGCCTCAGTCGTACCAAAATTTTGTCAAATTACGTATTTTCGAGTCCCAACGTCAGTACACAGACAAAATTTTCGTTTGTAATTCACTTTAAAATGGCTGGCAAGCTTAAAAGTGAGAGTTTTGTGGTGCTGAGAAGAAAAAGAGACATTCATTTTAGATTTTCTATGTATAATTTAATCATTTTCGACTTACGACCTGGATTTGGGTCCCTAACCCTGTCGTAAGTCGGGGAGGAGCTGTATACAACTGAACACCGTCCCCTGTGTCTAACTCCTGCTTACTCATTGCCTTAAGAATACCTGTATATCGGTGTTTACTGTATGGTAAGCTCCGTTTAAGATGTCGGTTAACTCCAATTTTAACTTGATTATACTTAGAAGCGGTCATACCCCTTCAATTAGTATGAGATTTGAGTCCCCTGTGCCCACAGCCCCCCAGCCACGCTGGGCTTCATTAACACGTGCAACTCCGCACAAGATAAGCCATAAACAATCAGGCTAGCTTACCAGTACGTTACAGTTATAGTTACTCCCTTCAAATAATAAAGTTACATTTAGGCCTAAAATCCTGGACACAGCACCATTTTGTCTTAAAGTGGTTGGTATCAGGACAATATACACATTAAATAAACACTCAAAGTGGCAATGTCGGGGTTTATATTACATCAAACTAAGTACAAAGAATAAAGTTAGGATATCCTACAATATAAATTGATACTCAAGGTTTGCTGATGTGGATGGAGGCCAGGAATTAATAGTGGAGCTTAGTTGGTGAGCCCCTCCATAATTGCCGGTTTTTACTGAAAGTGGTGAGTATTGTGTCAGGATCATTAAGAAACTGACGTTGGCAGGTAATTTGACATTCAACGGTAGCTGGTAGGATGCGTGTGCAGACAAAGGAATGTGGACTCGTGCAAGACTATTATTTAAATCAGGAGTAATTATTTACAATTCAGGTAACTGTATATATATATATATATATATATATATATATATATATATATATATATATATATATATATATATATATATATATATAATATATATATATATATATATATATATATATATATATATATATATATATATATATATATATATATATATATATATATATATATATATATATATATATATATATATATTTCATGTAAATCCACAATGAAAACGTGGATAAGATAATCTTGATAAAATCACGGGAAAATGGAAACAGACCTTAGCTTTCGTCTTTATTCAAGACATCTTCAGAGGCAACTGAAGATGTCTTGAATAAAGACGAAAGCTAATGTCTATCAATATATATATATATATATATATATATATATATATATATATATATATATATATATATATATATATATATATATATATATATATATATATATATATATATAATATTCAGAAATTTCAAAGTAATTTCAAACGCCTTGCCATTGGCGATACTGAGTTTTCAAGGTCGTCTGAGGGAAGAGAGCGCTCCCTGCACATAGCGAGAGGTTGTGGAACTAGGCCTATATGATATTAAATGTAATTTGCCGAATTAATAATGATACGATTTATGAAGTTAAGGGACTATTATTGAATTTGAAATTATTATAGATCGTTTATCAGTCTGAATAATGTTACGGGTGTCCCAAGGAGTTATTAGTTAGGAGGAAAATATGTCACGTAGGCCTAAGCTAACGCCTTGAGAGGACATGAGGTTGGCTAGCTCTCAGTCACGTGAAAGCGATTGGACCTACAGGACATCCCTGTGCTTCCGTCCACAGAAATAATCACGTGGTCTAGTCACCGTGTTGCGCTATTGCAGTACAATATAACAAGTAAGTCTCATTCAATCTCAGATAGGGGTTAGATAGGGCAGTGATAAAGTTATTAAGAGCTAACAGCGAGTCAATTTCAGGGTTTCCGTCAGAACCCACTTGACTGCGAGAAATTGACTGCCGTTGATGATTGAGGACTGGCGATTGTCGCCTTGGAACTATCAGTGTAGGCTTGTCACTGGTTAGCGGGGCAGCAAAGGATCTCAGAGTGGACGAGTGCTCCCGACAACTAAAACGACACGGGACCAGCATCAGCATTGGGTGATCAGTTCTTACCACGTGGGTGCACAACACCACGTGCCCTCGGTCAGCTAGAAGTATTACCTACTGGCCATGGTCACCTGCGGGCGTTCTCTCTTCCCGCCCATGGACGCACTGAGAGTACACTGAGGCAATCTGAGTAAATAAATGGTCACACACTGAGACCAGGAGTCTAGGGGATACCAAGAGGATCATTTTATCTCCCTTATTACGGGTGTATGTTGAGTCGGGTGGAGCATGGTTCACGGGTATTGGTGGACCCAGTAACATCTCAATAATAGTGACAATATTTTTGTGTGTAGTTAATACCATTTTTCAGTTACTGATATTATCTTGACGTGTGTAGTAATAGTTCCCAAATGATTTTGATAGTATTGTTTTTTGAATGTTTGTGTCACTAAGTGGAACCAGAGTGATACTGTGATCTAATTCCTTTAATGCATCTAATTTTTCTTTATAATTCCGATCTGAGGTATAACCTTTGTTCCCCAGAGTAGTGGTTAAGTTAGGTCAGGAAGTGTGCATCTGTTGGGGTGATATAATTTTATTGAGTGCCCTTAAGGCCTATTCATTGTAGAGTTATTAATTTCTTATTTTTTAATACCATTTTCTCAGTGCTGGATATAATTTTGTTGAAAGCCCTTAAGGCCTGTTTCATGTGTGCAAGCAACATTTCTTAATACTTTAAACTTATTGTTCTCTAATGAGGCATTGCCTGAGTTTCTAATAATTTCAACATCATGTATAACTTTTATTCCCCAGAGTAGTGTTTTAAGTTCAGGTTAAGAGGTGTGCATATTGGTGTACCATTATTGATTGTGTTTGTAGTGTTGGAGGGAATATAAGTGTAAATTTTACAGTGTGTCTCATTCATCCCAGTCACAGACGCTATCCTTCCACAGGTCATGGACAATTCATTTTGTTTAGTAAATTTAAGTGTTCTTGTGCTGGTTCGGGATTTCTCTCAAAGGGGCGCTTCCACTGCAATTACCATCTAATAATCTTTAATAAACCCCAAGTCTAGTGAGAAATTAAAGTCCAGTAATTCCGACCGGTTATATATATATATATATATATATATATATATATATATATATATATATATATATATATATATATATATATATATATATATATATATATATATATATATGCTGATAACCACAAGGAAAGAAGAAAACACGAGAGATCTTCATGAGTACTAGAGTTTCGTGTACAACTGGTCTCGAAAGACGACTTCATCGAACTCATCAAACTATGTATTAAGGATTGCAAATTCGAATTCAATGGGGAATATTATGCTCAAAAATTTGGTATGGCAATGGGTAATCCACTCTCACCTGTATTAAGCAACCTATATATGGAATTCTTTGAAAAGAAACTATTAAGTAATATTTTACCACCCTCAGCAGTCTGGTTTAGATATGTTGATGATGTATTATGTCTCTGGCCATGTAATGAGGACCTAAAAGCTTTCCTACCACAACTTAACAACTTAGCCCCCTCGATCAA